CCATGTGTGAGCTGTGTCTGGGTATGGATGAGCCTTGACTGGGCTGAAACATCCAACAGTAAGAACTGGAATGGGTTGAAGACCAGTCAGGAAAGGCCACTGTTACTGCCAGGACAGGAGGTGGACTAAGTAGAGCTACCCATTGATTCACAAGTATGCTCAAGATCTGGTGATGGGAGAGGTTCTGATGGACGAGCTTGGGAAACTCCTCTGTTGGGACATAGTCCCTGCAGATGAGCACAACAACTACAATAGAGAGCAGCCCAGATCAGACCAGGGAAAGGTACCCAGCACACATTTGGCACAAGTCAGGACAGGCCAGGCTGAACCCATTCACATCACCTGCTGGTGAATCTGAGTACCAGAACAGTGTGGGTCAGACTAGGATTGGTTGCAACACAAGCTAGTACACATTACGGCTGGGATTGGGCGCCTGCTGTGTTGAGCCAAGCTGTAACCTTCACCAGTGTCATCTGGAATTAGGGGTGGGCCAGGCTGGGTCAGGCTGCAGCAGCCACTGGTAAAAGCTGAAGAGAGGCAAGCCATGTCAGACTGGACCTCATCACCCAACCAGCACATGTGAGAACCATCGGGGGAGGGGACAAAGCTGTGAGGGGGAATGTGGAGGGCTCCCCTCTTGGACCACCATTGCCACTGGGGAGCATGAGTTGAGATGGGGGCAGACCAGACTAGGCAGGACTACAACACCTGTGGGCCTCATGTGAGCTAGATTGGGGAAAAGCCAGGCTGGGCTGATTGTTCCTACTGCTGCAAGCAAGCATAAATCAGAGAGGGCAAGGGTTGGTTGGGCTCTGCCGCAGCATCAGCTGGCAAATGCTGGCACTGGGGGCTAATTCTGTCAAGTTAAACTGCAGAACCACCTGGAGAGTGCATGATCCAGGAGTGGGAGTGGTCCAGTAGGGAAATAGTGGGCACCTCCCTCTTGGGTTACCACTCCCACTGGTGAGCATGAAAACCAGGACTGGGGTAGGCATGGCTATACAAAACTGCACCTGCTAGCATGTGTGTGGGCTGCACAGTAGGGCTGGTTGGGTTGAATGAAGCTTCAATGCTCAGTGATATGCGTAAGAAGTAAAAGGGATGTGGGACAGACTGAACAAGTCTGCGGTACATACTGGCAAGCATGAGAACCAGGGTAAGGGGCAGGCAGTTACTGGGAGTCACCCTAACTAGGTTGCAGCTCCCACTGGTTTGCGTGAAGGCCAAGTGTGAAGTGGACAGAATCAGGCTTGACTGCAACACCCATTGGTTCATGTGGAAGATAGGGCGAGAAACAAAACTGACCCAGCAATTGCAACCACCAGCATGTGCATAAGCTGATTGGGGCTATGGACTCTGCTGGACCCTGTCCTGGCAAACAAACACATACAAGAATCAGGTCTGGGGATCACCCCAGACGAAGTTTCTTTGGGGATCCCTCCAACTGAACTGCTGATCTCAGAACTCCAACCATGAAGAGACTATGTCAGCCAGTGGATTCTGAAGAGATTTCATCATGCATAGAATGGCGAGATTGGCAGCAATTCAGAACTGTTGAACTATCAAAACTGCTTGAGCAAGACCCTTGGAGCATGCCTTACATTGTGGACATGGAATGGGTGGGAGGTTGGATGGGCCTTCTGCCTTTGTCTCTCCCAATAGTTCAGATACAGAAAATAGAAAAAATAAAATTAATGTGGAAACAATGGTCTTACCTACTTTCCTGTAACCCTCGACCCTTTGTGCCCTAATCAACTATGTAAAGATTATCAAAATAAAAAAATTGAAAAAATATCCTTTTTCATTTTACTACTATAAATCATGTTTTCCAATTAGGGGTTCTTGTCTTTTAAGGATTACAGAAAGCATGTGACCCTAGATTCATAGTTTTCTCTTGCTTTTAATTGATTTTATTAATTTTGAAAAATAAATGTAGATTTAAGATCTTTTTATTTATCTGCTTATTTAAGGGGTAAAAGAGAGAGATAAACAGACATAGGACACTTGTCTCTATTCCCGTTCACTCCCCTGATGACTCCGGCAGCCAGGGCTAAGCATGACTGAAGTCAGGAATTAGTCAATCCAGATCTACCAGAAGGCTAGCAGGGATCTTAGAATTGAGCTGTCAGCTGCTACGTTCCAGGGTGCAGCCTCAGAATGATGCTTAATGAGCAACAGAGCTGGGACTTGCAGCCATGCACTTCAGTTTGGGGTGTATCATCCGAAGCAGTGTCTTAACTACTGCACGAAGTGTCATGCTGGGATTATTTATTTATTTTAATATATATTATATATAATAATATATTATAGAATTATATGATATATTATATATAATTATTATATATAATATAGGACAGAGAAGAGAGACAGAAAGAAAGCTCTTCCATTTTTTTTCCCCAAATGGCCACTCCTGATCTGATGCAAAATCAGGAGCTTCGTCTAGGTCTCTCATGTGTGAATTGGGTCCCAAGGCTTTGGGTCATCCTCTGCTGCTTTCACAGGCCACAAGTAGCGAGCTGAATGGGAAAGGGAGTAGCTGGGACATAATCCAGTGCCCATAGGGTATCCTGCCACTTGAAGGGGGAAGACTAGTTAACTGAGCCATCATACTGGGTCCTGGACTTAATTTTTTAAATAACAGTTTAAGGATTACGATCAAAGGAATAGATATTACAGAATTCCCATATATGCATTCGGCCAACTTCTCTATTATTAACATATCAATTACTGCATTTATTATAACAGGTGAACTGATAATGACACATTATTATTAAGTCTTGAAAGAATAAGTGAATAATGAAAGAAATATTTGGAGATCATAACTTCCCATTACATGTCACTGAATACATAAAATGGAAACTTTCAAGTATTTACTAACTGGAGTTCAAAAAAATTATTTCAAAGATTTATTTATTCAACTTCAAAGAGTTAGAGAAGGTGGGGGGAGAGACAGAGAGGGATAAAGAGAAAGAGATCTTCCATCTGCTGGCTCATTCCTCAAATGGTCACAATATCCAGAGCTGAGCCAAACCGAAGCCAGGAGCTTCTTCTGGGATTTCCAAATGAGTTTAGGGGATCAAAGACTTGAGCCATTCTCTGCTGCTTTTTGAGCTTTGAGCAGGGAGCTGGATTGGAGCAGCTAGGACTTGAACCTGTGCCCAATTGGGATGCTGGCCCCACAGACAGTGGATTGGCCTGTTACATCACTGTGTTGGCCTAAGAGTTCAAAATTCAAATATATACTTATTTTGAATTTTGTTTCAGTTTTTTTTTTTTTTTTTGCTAAGAATGGTAAATTTACCTGTGACAACAAGTGATCTGTTTTATGAACCCTGTTGAATATCATTTTTACAACACAGAACATTACAATGGTATATGGGTTAAAACATTGTAAATATGCATTTGATTGACTCAATGAACATAAAAGAATTGTGCATATTTTGTTAAAATGAATAAAGGGATTTTCTCACTGAAATACCTAAGCATGTATAAAATAAAGTGACCTTTACATTAGCTTTTAAAACACAATGCACAAACTGACTTTTCCACCTAAAATCTAGTGATATGAAAATAGCACACCAATTTACTGGGAAAACACAACTCTAACCTGCCATATTGTGTACATTGTTTTAAAATAAAAACCATTACCTAAGTATTAAGAAATTTCTTAACTTAAGGATCTAGAAAACATTTCTTCAAAAGACAGCAGAGTAAAATTGGTGGTAAGAACACATTTCAAAGCGGATGGAACCAGAGACTATCATGCTAAGTAAAATAATTAAGAAAGACAACTACCACATATTTTCTATCATTTGTAGAAGTTAAAATTATAATATATAGTGTAGAAATATTCAAAGGAATAATAGGATTCACATGTATTCTTTGTCTGAAAGGGGGGAAGATAACTCAAGAAGGAAGAAAATACAACATTTACTTAGGAAAAATTCTTATGACCTGGATCAAACTCTACAGGTTTCAGAATAAGAAAAACAAATTATGCAAGTGCCTTTATAACATGAGTGTTTTTGTATACTCATGTTTACCATAATTCAATTTGTAATAGCTAAGATATCCAATCAGCCCAGATATTCATCAATGGATGACTTGATACAGAAAAAAATATATATACTATGGAATAGTACTTAACCACAAAAAGGGGTGAAATCCTGTCTTCTGCAACAAAATGGAGGCAACTACAAACCATTATGCTTAGCAAAAGGAGGTGGTATTCAAAAAACAAATATGTTTTCCCTGGTCTGTAATAACCAACACACAGAATATAAAAAATGTATTCTATGTATTCTATATGAGCAAGAATGATTATTTATAACTTATAATTTTTACAAATAATAGGCTTTTTTCTATCTTTTAATTGTTGAATTCTTTATCAAATAAAGTGTTAAGCCTGTGATTAACAAGTGAACTGTAAGTATGCCATGGTAAAAATCTTAGTGAGAGAAACAGAAATAAGGAAGGTGGGTTGGGAACATGGGCAGGAGGGAGCGCAGGGGGAAGATATCACTATGTTTCTGAAACTGTATTGTATAGTAAATAAATTTTAATGCCTTTATATCAATAAAATAATAAGCCATCCACCTTAGGTTAGCTGAATCTTTCAATAATGACATTAAAGCACTCATAGGCTCTGATCCAGCATAGAATTTTGGAAAAAGTTTAAACTTACTAAAATTAGATTTAATTTTTACATTAGGGTGTCCTTAAGTGCTTTTAAGAAATGTATTTCTCATAGCATTAATTGGGTTGCCAATGCCACATTTCACCATCATAGGAGAGGTTGTATTCCTCTACCCCAAATGAAAGGTAAATTACAATGTGGCAAATGTTAAGGCAGTGTATGATTAATGAGATTCTGAATACTGTGTTACACAGAAAACTTCTCTCAGAACCTCTGTCCCAAATCAACACAAATTTACATTTCAAAAGACATTTTTATCCAAGTTTGAAAGAGTAACAATGGAGTAAATAAAAACAATTCTTACCACTTGGCAATACCATGACTGGTTCTGTAAACCTTTGTTCATCTGCTATTGGCAGGTTTAGGGATATGATTAACACCATTCCCAGACTAGTTCCAACAAACAGACAAGGGGAGATGCTGGAGTCGTTTTTCCGTGCAAAGGATTCCATGAAGTATAACGCTGTGATGGCTTCCTTAGAATCTTTGTCAATACTGGAGATACTAGAGCTCCTGGAACGATTATAGGAATTTTCACGGGTTTCTATGGAAATTAAGAAAAAATAAGAGTTATCATAGGTTTTTCCACAGCAAATCAATATTAGACTTAATACATGAACGCCAAAATTATGTTTTATTCTTTGTTAATTGACCTGGAAGGTAGGTCATCAGTTTTTTTTTTTTTTATAATGGAGAGTCTAAAGTTCAAACATATAAATCATAAACCTAGTAAGCACTAGAATTAGAATGTGAGTTTCCAAAGATCCAGGTTATAGTTTTTATCTCTACATGACTTCACATGTTGGTTGAACTTCAATCTAGAAAAACAATATAATCTAAACAGTCAAGGTTACAATTGTTTCTGATATTGTTTTAAGAGTATGTCTTTTCCTGTCTCTCAACTGTTGCAAGTATTCCTAATGTTCTCCTGGCATTTCCCATTTATCAACATTGTTGTGAACACTGACATGGAAGGACTAATCCATACTGCACTCTACTGTGGCAAACACATTGTATATCTCTTATAATTACCTTCATAAAAATTAAAGGTAAAATCAAAGGCAAAATGCAAATATAATCTTCCAAGCCACCTACTTTGAATCTAAACTCAGAGCCAATAGGGAGCTTTGGATTGCACTATTCTCATTGACTGGGACCATGCTATTAGTTCCTGGCTTCAGCCCTTGCTGGGGGCCATTGTGGGCACTTGGGTACACATGAGCAGATCATAGTGCTCGCTTTCTTAAATAAACAATTTAAAGTTACAGGACAAATTTCTCCTTTTTGTCCATGATCAAAGATACAAAAATAATTATTTGTTATAGAACTCAGATACAAAGGAAGATCAAATATACTGTACAGATTTGAAACAGATTTATTTTCTTAGAATTCAGAACAAATTAGAGGCACACATATCTAAAACCCCAAATTACATGTTTTATTAAGGTGATTAAGATTATGTTTCTTCTCTAACTCCTATGTACTGCTTCTGTTATAACAATTTTAGTCAATACATGTCTCCAAAATTTTCCCTTTCATAATTTATCAACATTCAAGGTTTACACTCATATGCAAATGAGATAAGATTGTTGTCTTTATGTCCAGGAACCAGTGTTAATAGCATAATGTTAAAGAAATTGAAAAAACTGAAAATAAATTTACAACTTCTTTTGGAGGAAATACAGATCATCAAATTTTTAAAAAGGCAGTAAAGCATAGAATTACTAAACAAAAATACCTAAAACTTTTTCCTCAAGATTTACTTTATTCATTGAAAAGCAGAATGAGAGAGAGAGAGAGATCGAGAATGAATCTTTCATTCTGTTTCACACTCCAACTGGCCACAAAGGCCCGGGCAAGGGCTGGCCTACATGAAACCAGGAGCCTAGAACTCCATCCAGATTGCTCATGAGATTGTCATATTAAGGAAAACAAGTATTTGGGTTATTTTCTGATGTTTTCCCTGTCACATTAGCAGGGAGCTGGACAGGAAGTGATGTGCGGGCTAAGGGAGAAAGCAGCTGCAGCTTAATGTGCTGCATTGCAACACTGTCCCCTCCCTAATGTTCTCGGTGAACACGATGGTAGCAGCAGAGTTACACAATTTCTCCATTTTTCCTGTGGAAAAATTTCTAGATTCTGGTTTTTATACTTCATTCCCTGCTCTCAATTTCATTCCATATACAAACATCCAGACTGAATGTCCAAGATGGCTGAATAGTGAGAAGATGCACTGACTACAGCCACAGAGGGACATGAACAAACCAAAGGAAGGACGTTTCCAGGAGCCTGACCGGTAGACATTTTCAGTGAAGTGACAGAACAGAGCAGAGTACAGACACACTTCTGTGGCTGACCACGGCATGCAGTCAGCTGTCCATTGGGAGGCACCACCTTCCCAAGTCAGATAGCAGGAAGCTGCTGTGGGCCCTGTGCCTGACATCTTTACCTGAGGGAGCAGTCCACAGTCTGTCACTGACTTCAGCTCCAGCCTTGGGAACCAACTGGTGCCTGACTCTGAACCAAGCCAATTGCTTGGTTTCAAAAAGGGAAGCCACATTGTCTTATTCTCCTTCCTTACCCTGACAGAACACATATTCTGTTCTGCTGCTACCAGAAGTCTCTAGGGCCAAAGTCAGGATGCTTCGTGGGACAGAGATCAGATTGTGGCTTCCTACAACTGCAGGAGTTTTGACAGAAGCCCCTAAGTTGTGCTCACTCACTTTGGATAATCTGGGGGTGTGTGGGGGTGTTCCTTTAGTTTCTTGGGGCTAGTACCAACATCAGTCCATAAAATTCTGACCTGATTTAAGGAATTTCCCTGTGAGCTTCCTAGCTCCCCAGGACTAGGTGCCCTGGGCACAAACCCCAACAACATCTTGCATACTTTACGAGAAAATGAGGGCAACTTTGTCTGTGTCTTGCAATACTGCGACTGCTCATATTGGTTTCATTATCTTTGGAGTAATTTTTATACATTTGTGGTACCTTGAGGGTTCTATTACATTTCTCTGCTTCAGACAAGTGGTTCACATTATTCCCAGTGTCAGGCTTCCATCCTGAGAAAGCTGAGCAATGAACCCACTGAATCTTGCAACATGAAGACTGTAATACTCAGTAGTAATTTCCTAAAATCCACTGTAATCTACTTGGTGTTACCTTGAGAAGAACATGCTCACATTTTGCCTCTGGATCCATATCTGCCAGTGCAAAAAACCCCTGGATACCATATAGTCACCCTGTGGATCTGGAGCAGGGTTTTGTTCATATCTGCCAGTACTGAGCCTATGTATTACAGCCTGAGCAGCAGTTGCACTCTCCTAGCAGAACCTGGGATACAGGGATAGCCTCCTATATGCCCCTTAGCATTGTGAACAAGGTCCCTGGCTATCATAACCCCTAGTGTCTCTGACAGTTTCTCTATGGACTGAGGATACACACTGTAGGAAGTCCACATTTGCCTCAAGTCAGACTTTTACATCTATAGACTCTGGCAGACAAGATCACTGTGTCACTTATAGATACAGTTGGAATTAATTAAAGCAAAAGAAATCACTCAGGACGTAAGTCTTGGCTCACCTGGAACCAAGCCAAACAACAGGCCAAGTGATTGCCTCCATTGTATCTACACCATAAATTGTTTTCCAGTACAGACTACTTCATAAAGAAGAGTCTATTTTGCCAGATATAAATATAGGGAAACAGGAAACAAAGGAGTAAGGTAATTTGAAGCCTCCAAAAGAAAATAATTCTTCAGAATTAGACCTTTATCTGAAAGAAATCTGAAACGCCAGATACAGAATTCACAATCAGAATTGCAAGGAAACTCACTGTGATACAAAGAATACAGACAGAAAAGGGAGGAAATCAATGAGTTGCTCTATACCACAAATTAGGTATACCTCAGAATTAGCATACCTCAGAATTAGCATACCTCAGAATTAGCATACCTCAGAACTATAAAAGCTGTATATGACAAAAAGCAGTCAATATCATGCTGAACACATTTCCCCTCAGATTTGGACCAAGACAAAGATACCCAATTTTACAACTCTCATTCGGTTAGCACTGGGAATTTTAGCAACAACAATCAGGGAGGAGAAGGAAATAAAGGGTGTCAAAGTTGCCAAGGACAAAGACAATTCATTTGTTCATGTTTGCAGATGACATGATGCTGTAAATGGGAAATCCTAAACAAACACTCCACCAAAAAGCTGTTAGAACTGATAAGCTAGTTCAGTAAAGTTTCAGATTACAAAATCAACATGTAAAAACAATGTATTTTTATACAGAAGTGCTGAACTTAAAAAGAAATTAAGAAATCCCACTCACAATAGCCACAAAAATCAAATAATTAGGAATAAATTTACCAATTAATTCAAATATTTCTGTGATAAAAATGATAAAACACTGATGAAAGAAATAGCCAAGGATACACACAAAAAATTGAAAGTTATTCCTTGCCTACATATTGGAAAAATTACTATCATCAAAACATCTATACTACTAAAGCAATTACAGATTCAATGTGTATCTGTCACAAATCCAATGACATTCTCTAAAACATGAGAAAAAATACACTAAAATTCATATGGTATCTTCACAGGTGGCCTGTAACAGCCAAGACTATCCTGCGTACTACCAAGCTATAGCAATTAATGCAGCATGGACTGACAAAAATACAAAGACCACAAGAGCAGTACAGAGAGCCCCCAAACCAGTCCATGTACACATAGCCAACCGATCAATGATTAAAGTACCTGGACTATTCAGCACAGAAACGAAATCTATTCATTAAATAGTGCTGGCCAAAATATGTAGAAAATAGATCCATACTACAGAAATCAGCTCAAGAGGGAGTTGAGACAATGAACTTGATGGAATAAAATGTAGGGAAAGCACTTAAAGTCATTGGTGTAGGTAACTATTTCTTGACTAAGATCCCCAAAACACAGGCAATAAAAGCAAAAACTAGACAAGTGGGATTTCATTAAACTCAAAAGTTCAAAAGCTTCTGCATAGTAAAGGAAATCATAAAGAGATGCCCAACAAAATGGGAAAAATATTTACAAGTACTTATATGACAAAGGATTAATATCTGGAATATATTAGGAACTCAAATATCTTCATAACAAAAATCAACTAATCGATTTAAGAAATGGGCAAAGGACCTCAGTAGACAGGATTCAAAAGAAATATTGATGGTCAATCAATATATGAAAAAATGCTTAACATGACTAGCCATCAGAGAAATCCAAATCAAACATAATGAAATATTACCTTACCCCTGTCAGAATGGCTATTATGCAAAGGAAAGAAAGTAACAAAATTAGAAAGGATGTGGAGAAAAGGAAACTCCTGCTCATTGTTGGTGAGAACATTAAATTACAAGTCACTGAGGAAAACAGTGTGGAAGTTTTGCAAACAAAACAACAAAAAACTACAGACTTACATAGGATCCAGTAATCCCATTGCTTGGAGTACATCCGAAAGACATGAAAACACGCTATCAAAGGGATACATGTACCACATGTTTGTGGTGGTACTACTCTCAATAGCCAAAATTTGGAATCAATCAATGTTCTATCATCAAATGATTATTAAATAAAATGTTTCATATTGCATATAATATTATTCAGCTATTAAAATGAATGAAATTCTACAATTGACATCCCAATAGATTTTACTGGAGGACATTATGAGTTAAATAGTCTGGTTATAAAAAAACAAACACTGCCTGTTCATTTTCATATGAGACACAAAATTGAAGAAGAAAAAAATTAAATCAAAAAAGAGGAGTTCCTGTGTATATCAGTATTGATGCAAATAGTTTTGTCAAATTAATGGTTTTAATAAGCTGTGATTATTTTAAAATTTACTGAATTTGGGTACAATAGACATTCTTTTATTTAATTACTGTTTACAGCTTTGCTTACATTCCTGCTGAATTATGGTCTTCTTAGTTTTTAGTTTTTAAAGTCTTTATTTAGCAGAGCATTAAGCTTTTAACCATAATGGAAGTTAAAAATGTTACCTCAAAAATTAAAAAATACAGCAAGAAAGGGAGGGGTGTAGTGGTATTATATTCTTAGAATTATATCCATAAACTGCATGGAATCTGTTATTTTTGTATTAATATCATCTTTACATAAATATTGACAAAAATTTTACTGTAATAATTATCACACATTTGCTAAGGTCCTGAGAGCCTATTAATAAATGTCTGAAGACAAAAAAGTGAAAACATCTAAATGAAGATCGCAAACTTTAAGATTTAATGTATGTTTTTTTTTGGGTCACATTGGACAGTTAAGGAAACTAAGGTTGCAAGACATTGAATAATTACATACATTTAGTGACACTGAAAGGTTTACTATTAAGTTTAATAACTATTAAATATTACTGTAATGCAGAGAATGGACAGAAGCATTGATGTCATGTTGTGTAGCAGGCAAGAGGAGCCTACCATAAACAGCCATTCCAGTTTTAGAGATGAGGAAAAAAGTATAGTCAGGAATGGATTTGGGGTCATGCTGACTATGCCAGCAAACTCTTACTCATTGTGTAGTATTTGTTTATATCTTTCACATGTGAATTTCATCCCTTACCTCTCAACTCCCATTATGATGGAACACCATTTTTGTTTGTATTTATAACAGTGGATGTGTTTAACCTACCTTCTGTTGTAACTGGTAAAGGTATCTCCATGCAAGCAGCTGACTGTGCCTTTCGAAATGGTGGTCTTCCAGGACCCCAGCGATTAACTTTAGAAACATCAGCACTAGAAAGACGTTTTCCAGAACTGCAGCTCTGAGAAGTTGGACTTGTGCAATGTCCATTTACATGGTCTATACCAAGAGGAGGAAGGCAGTATAAATATCACAGTTAAATCTTGGTAAAGGAATCTACATGTGTTGGTTAACAAATTAAGAGGACCAAGAATTTATTTCAAAACTATGATGGTGTCTTCAAAAAGTCCACAGAAAATGTACATTGTTGGGACTGGCTTTGCGGCATAGCAAGTGAAGCCATTGTCTGCCATGTCAGCATTCCATATGGAAGCCAGTTTCAGTCCTGACTCCTCCACTGCAGATTCAGCATCCTGCTAGTGACCTGGGGAAGGCAGTGGAAGATAGCCCCAGTGCTGGGACCCCTACCATGCAATTGATGAGAACCAGGTGAAGCTTCTGGCTCCTGGCTTGAGCCTGACCCAACCCTGATTGTTATAGCCATCTGGGTGGTGAGACAGAAAATGTTTATTACAATATATATGTTGTACATATGTACACACACAAATTTCAAAAAATTTGGCCAAAATTTCATTTTCCACAAACTTTTTGAAGCACCTCTTTATTCTCAAATTTAGTGATTTCAATAGTTAGCCAAAACTTCAAGAAATATTAAGTCTGTTTAATTATCATTTGATTAGTTAACAGTTTATAATTTTAATCTCTACTATGTATTTTTCATCTGATGACATTATGAAACAAGTTATCATATTGGACTGCTTGCTTCATAATTTAAGCATACAACAATTTATGTAAGTTTTAGAAGTCCTTTAAGAGCTTAGAGTTTAAAATGCAGAAGGGAAGTAGCTTACTGAGCAGATTAGAGTGGTAAAATAAGAATGCTATCTTTAGAACTGGATTGTATTCAAGTCACAGTTCTACCAATTACCAACTGTATAATTTACTAAAGTTTTCATGCTTTAGTTTCTCCTTCTATAAATTTAGAATATTACCTACCTTATGGGATTCTTGTGACACATTTATGTGTGAGAGACAACATGCCACATGTGAAAGTAAATGTCAGCATATGGCAGATTCTGAACAAAAATGTTATTATTGTCATTGCAGAGTATAAAGCTGTTTATGTCAAAGGCAGTAGTACTGTTCATTTCATTTGAAGCTTGTGAGCTTAATTGTTTTGATAGACCTTACAAAACTTGGCAATGCACTAAATTGAATTTGAAGATCACCTTGCATTTATACAATATGCAGAATGGTTGTTGAAATATGCACCCTTGGTCATTAAAAGAATAGAGTTATATGGGAAATAATCATGCTTAATGGCTACATTGAGAAATTGGAACTAACACCTAAGAGTTACTCCGTTACAGCCTCTCTATTTAAAAGTTTAAAAACCTTAAACCATACTTCCATGATTCCCTTGGAAACTGTTAAAAAGATAAAAATTAGTTTTCACCATGTAAACATGTGTTGAGACCAATTTTAAAAAATTAGATTTAACATACATTGACTATTTAAATTCTGGGAATTATATACACAATATCTTATTTAATCTTCATAAAAACTATGCAACACTCGTGCTTTCATTATGAATACTGCAGATGAGGAAAATGAAGTTCAGAATGAAAGTCTGGAAAACTTGTCACATAAGTAATAATCACGGACACAGGATTCTAATCCAGATGTTCTCACTCTGTAAACAGTGGGATACAGAGTCAGCTAAAATACTTGAAAGAGTAGAAACTTTGAAATCACATTTTGTAGAGTTCAGGAAGTACACAAAATTCACACAGATGGTATGCCTTTTGGAACCAGTCATCTTCCATATTGATGTATAGCTCAGTAATCCCTGCTAGAAAAGCAGAAGTATCCCATGAGTTAGTCACGGGGAAAGCTGAAATTGAAAGTCCCATTCCTCTGTGTCAATCAAATTAAGGTTCATAAATAAGAACACTGGAGGCAATAGCTGGAACTAATGACCTAATAACTTAACAAGAATAAGACAACAGCAACCCTTTGGAGTAAAAGCATGCCAAACTGGGTACACTGGTTAGAAAGAACTTCCCATAAACTTTGCATTCCAAAAACTTTGCTTCTGGGTTCACTGCTTCTCCAGAGACAGAAAACAAATGAACGGTTGCCAAACACTTGGTGGTGGTGGTGGCAGGATTATTAACAACAGATACAGAAGTTGTACTGGGGATTATGAAAAAGTTCTGGAAATGGGTAGTAGATGTGGTTGTTCAATATAGTAAATGTACTTAATGTTTCTGTATCATACGCTTAAAATGGTTAAGACACATTTTTGTTATCAACATCTGACTATACTAAAAACGACTGGAAGGCCACATTATATGTTGTTTTTGATGGTTGAGTGGCAAAATTATGAAGATCATACCTTCTTTTCTCTTTATCCTGATTCATACTGTATAGCGGACATACACATTAATGGTGAAGGGGTAATATACATATGTATGTACACATATACATATACATGTATCTGCCTTAGTTAATAAAACTGTACCACTTACAGTACAGTTGCCTTTATTGTATACAGAGTTTTCCAGAGAAAGAGCCATTGACCTCTGAATGATGAACAAAACCTCAGAGAGCTGCTGTGCTTATCTGGACAACATCCAAGCCTCGGGAGGTGAGCCGTAGCAACACAGGGGTCCACGAGGAGCTTACCTCCTGGAAATTCCTACTGTCTAAAAACCTTTCATGATACTACAACTTCTAACCAAACAGCTAACATTTTCTCTGAACTGTTGGGTTTACGAAGCATTCATTATGTATTGTTTATCTTTGCAATTATCTCATGGGACAGACAGGACTTCTCAGTTCACAGATATGAAGACCAACACTTAGAGAGACTGAACCTGCTTCAGGACAGAGAAATAAATCCCAAGCTTTCTTCAGCATTAAAGAGACCACTTGGAATTTCTCAGTCTGTGTGGCTGGTGGTTTCTCATTGTGGCACACAACCTGCTTCCCTCACAGATTTTGGGATCCTCCTGCCCAAAAGGAAGTTGGCTGCCAGGGTACTGCTATTGTCAGAAAGCAATGCCTTGAAATTGATGGAGCTTTTGCTGAGAAATCAATCTGTTTTTAATCCTTACATTCAATTTTTCTAAATTTTAAAAATTCATTTGGTATACAACTTCTTTTTAAATTTATCCATCCATAGACAAGTGGATTCCATAGCTTGGGTATTACTAATAATGCTGCAATGAATATGGAAGTAGATCTATCTTGTCAAGATTCTGATTCAACTTCTTTGGTTAACCAGCCAGAAATGGGATTGCTGGGTCATATGGTAGTTCTGTTTTTAGTTTTTCAGGAACCTCCATACTATTTTTCATTATGATTATACTAATTGGAATGAACAAATTTCCCTTTATTTTTCCTAGGATTGCCCAACATGTTATACTTACCTTTGAATTACTTTGTTTCTCTAGTTTGTAATGCATGTTTTAAGCTCCTTTTTTCTTATATTTATTGACATGACAGAGCTTTTTCATCTCAACTTTGTCACTATAAAACAATTCATATTTAATTAATTTTTCTAGAAGATTATTTAACACTTTCCTCCTCTGAGTGTTTCAATTTATCAGAGCAAACTGCTTAAAAATAAGCCTTAGTCAAGAATGGAATGAAACTGCAAAAATTAGTTAATGTGGAACAGACTGCTGCTTTTAAAATGCAACATGTCCAGCAATTACATTTATGTAAAACAAAAATGATATTTGCACAGCATGTTTTCAGTGTTTCCCTGTGGCTGGCTTTCTCTACCATGACATAAATAACAGGGCTACAGTCAACTGCAGTTTGTCATGGTATGTCATGGAGGTCATCAGGGTAGTAGTATCTGAAGGTCTTGGACTTAATGGTTCTAAGATCTTGACATTCTAAATTGTCATAAATCAATTCCTCTAGTTCAACATTTGTTTTAATCTTGCTTTTCCATCTCACAGATGGGCATGTGAATGATTCCATACTAGTAGAGTTGGAAGCTATGTTGCTCTTGGTTGTCACTGGGCCTATGTGGGGAAACTGCTCCATGGCTGACATTATGCTGAATGCTCTGTTCTGGACTGTTTATTTTGGAGATTAAAGACTGTTTATTTTGGAGATCAAGGTAGTTAAACAGCACTGGGCAGTAGCCATACTAGCTAAAACAATACATTTCTCTGAGACAAATCGTATACACAGAGTGACACGAACTGTTTTGAGAGTTGAAACTTGTGCAGTGTTTGAAGCATCAGCAATGGATATGGTCATAGCCTAGCTGACCGAGGTTAGAGACTTCCCATTAGAAGACAAATTGAATCCGGGATCCAATCTGCAGCACCACCAAACTCTGACATCAGCAGATCTTGCTGTCCCATAGCATACTGATTGATGTTTCATCCACTTTTTTTAGTGCACAGAGAATCACTCTGCATTTAAAGTTGTATGATTATGCTGACAGCAAAACCTTTGGATGCCAGCTCTCCATGGCCTTTCATTTGCTTGCTTAGCCTGTAACATTTTCACACTCAAGTAACAAATAGAAATGAATCATACTCTCTTTCCACAGTAATTTCATTCTAATTCACACACCAAAAAATGGCAAATAATAATGGCACCTGCAAATAATAATTGTATAGTCACAGTTGGGAGCCCAGACAATAACTGTGAAATACTCTTAGAGATCACGAAATATCACACACTGGCTCTCATTGTTTTTATAGATGAGCACTTCATGATTATTGGCAACAATGATAACCTGAGCATAATCCTTGTTTCAAGTATGGCAAGTTACCGGCTTTAGAAAAAAACTGCTGCAGATATAAAATTCTTGGGATTTTCCAAGGGGGAAAGCTGGAGCTGAGACAAGCTCTGAGTGGGTATCTGAATTCTGCTTAGTCTATATGAATACGCTATGACCAGTTCTGCCACTTTTACAGCAGATTACATATTCTTTTTTTTTGGTGTTTTATATATTTTCTTATTTTTGAATACTTCTTAAGGTTTGGGGTATTGTAATATTTATGTGGTTATTTTAAACTATTTTTAATGATCATCTATGCATATTATCAATTGATTTCCTTTCATGA